AAAGAAAGAAAGGAAGGAAGGAAGAAGAAAGAAAGAACACAGCCCCCTGCAACCAGACCCCACGTCCAGAAAGCACATTCAGCTATGAACTCATCACTGGATGAATCCACTGATGAATATTGTGTTCCCATGACCAATCACATGAGATTTGGGGGGGGTCATTTTAGATCTCAACCATAGCAACATATACCTACTTCAACAGAGTATCTCTTTCAGTGCTTTGACAAGTTTATCTGTGTGTTCTATCATCTTTTCCTTTCCTTGGTATAAGACTTCCATCAAAGGTGTGTTCTGCAAACATGGGCTCCCATCCACAGCTTCACTTCTTGTTCTCCACTTAATGTCTTTGGAAGAGCAGAAGACTTTAATTTCCATAAAGTCCAATTTTATTTACTTTTTCTTTTGGATCATGCCTTTGGTATCATATCTAGGAAATAGATGCCAAAGCCAAAGCTTTTCTGATATATTTTCTGTGTTAGGTAGCTTTCCAGTGCTGTCACAAACTACCTGAAAAATTGAATTTAAAGTGGGAAAAGTTTGTATTTTCTTGTAATTAAAAGATTTCAGTCCATGGTCAATTGGCTCCATTGCTTTTAGGCCTGTGGTAAGACAGAACATCATGGTGGAAGGGAATAGCAGAGGAAAGCTACTCACCTCGTGGAGGGCAGGGAACAGAGAGAGAGAGAGCAAGGAAAGGTCTGGGAACAAGATATACCCATCAAAGACCTATTTCCTTCGCTACCAAGGACCTACTTCCTCTTACCAGAGCCCACCTACTAAAGTTTCCCCACCTTCTAAAAACCTATTAAGCTATTCTTAATCCATAAATGAATTAAGCCATTGATGATATCTGAACCTCAGGATTCAGTCACCTTAGGACCATGCCTTCAATGCATTAGTTTTTGGATGACATTTCAGATCCAAACCATAACAGTTTTCTTCGAGGACTTTTTAAAAAAATTTTATTTTATTTGTACATTTTAGGTATACAATATAATGACATTCATCATTGGAAATTTGCACCTTTACATAATCTTTCTTGGTTCTTATTTTTCTTCGAGGACTTTTATAGATTTTTAGATTCATATAACTCTATGATGCATTGTGAATAAATTTTTGTATATGGTATAAGGCATGAATGAAGGTTTTGTGTGTGTGTGCATGTGTGTGTGTGCCCTTGTGCCCTCTTGTTCCTACATATGTATTGAAAAAACCACTCTTAATTGAAATGACTTTGTATACTTTGAAAATCTGTTTTCTGCATTCATGTGGGTTTACTACTGTGCTCTCTATCCTGTTCCATCAACCTTTCTAACTTTAGGTTGATCCCACTTTGTCTTGATTATTGTAGCTTATAAGAAGTCTTGAAATAAGGTAATATTAGTGGTACCACTTTGGTCTCCTACTTTTGAAAAAAAATTTTTTAAGGACCTATTCCAGGTCCTTTACATTTCCTCACATGGTTTTTAGAATCAGCTTGTCATTTTCTAAAAAAAAAACAAGAACAGCCCACTCATAGCTCTAAAAATCTCCTTTGGGCTTTGATTGGAATTGTACTGAGCATGGATAGAGTAGTTTAGAGAGAACTGGCTTCTTACGAAAATAGAGTCTTCTGATTAGTGAATCATGAATGTGATGTATTTGTTAGGTCTGTCTTAAGTTCTGTTAGCATTGTTGTATTATTCACAGTGTACAGGTAATACATGTCTTTTGTCAGATTTATCTCTAAGTATTTCACACATTTTGATGCTATTGTAAATGGTATTTTATTTCAATTACTTATTATTTGTTCATGGCTATTACATAAATTAACAATTGATTTTTTGTTTGTTTGGTTTTCATGGTGCTAGGGATCAAACCCATGGCCCTTTGTGTGCTAAGCAAATTCTTTATCACTGAGCTACATCTCCAGCTCCTATAATATATTTTTGTATATTCATATCATATCTTGATACTTGAATTAAATTTATTTTTGTAGATTTAATAGGGTTTACTACTTAGGCAATCCAATTGTCTACAAATAAAATGTTGCTTTATTATTTCCAAATTGGATGCTTTTTATTGTTTTTTATGTCCTGACCTTGTTGCTGGACTCCCTGGTACAATAATGAATCTAATCAATAAGGGCAGGAATCTTTGTCTTGTTCCTGATCTCAGTCTTAAAACATTAAGTACTATGTTACCTGTAGTTTTTCATAGATTTCTTTTATCAATTTAAAGAATTTCTCCTGCATTCTTAGCTTGTTGAGAAAATTTTAAAAATTAGTAATAGGTATTGGATACTGCCAAATACACTTTCTGCATTTATTGATGTGATTGTGTGAATTTATTTCCTTTCTTTAATGTGGTAAATTACATTGCTTGGTTTTAAGTGGTAAAGCTACCTTGCTTTCTAGAGACAAAACCTGTTTTGTCATATTATCCTTTTTATATATTATCATTGAAATCTATTTGCCAAAGTATCATTCTGAAGTTTTGTGTCTATGTTCATGGGTGATCGTGGCCTATTCTTTTCTTTTTTCTCTCTTTCTCTTTTTCTCTCTTTCTCTCTTTCTCTTTCTTTCTTTCTTTCTTTCTTTCTTTCTTTCTTTCTTTCTTTCTTTCTTTCTTTCTTTCTTTCTTTCTTTCTCTTTCCTTCCCTTCCCTCCCTCCCTCATTTCCTTCCTTCCTTCCTTCCTTCCTTCCTTCCTTCTTTCCTTCCTTCCTTTTTGTAATACTAGGGATTGAACCCAGGGCCTTTACCCTGAGCTACATCTCCAGCCCTTTTTTATTTTGAGACAGGCTCTTGCTAAGTTGCCCAAGCTTGAGATCCTCCTTCTCAGCCTCCCAAAGTGCTGGGATTATAGGTGTGTGCCGTGACACCCAACCTACTTTCTTCCCTTATGGTGTCCCCTCTCTCGGGGCTACTGTGCATTGTTGCCTGGTGTCTAGTATCTTGAAAACACATTTTGTTCTCTCTTTTAGTTGTGAGTGGGAGGGAAACCCCTACCTGGTCTCCATTGCTGGAATAGGAGGTCCTCTGGACTCACCATGCTTCGTTGAAAATTTCAGGACTTGCTCACCAGAGTGGAAGGAGTCAACTACCCAGACACCCATTGGCTCTGAACAGCCTCCAAAGACACTGTGTCATACAAAACAAGACTATGTGCTTCTGTTACTGTGTCCCTTCCTTTTGTACCATCATATCCTAGTGTACTTTGATAACTGCAGTGTATTCCTTCTCCACTTCCCTCAGACTCTCCCAGCATTTGGGTGCATTCCAGAGGATCCCAGTGATTTTTTTGGCAATTATTGCTAATGTTTGCATGTCAAGTTTAATAAGAAAATCTTCAGGCTTTCATCCAAAACAGTAGTTCCCTTTTCATATCTTAGCCCAGACCCTTTGCTTTCCCCTCCACCTATCCTCAGATCCTGTCCCCTTCCATCTCCTTGTCCTGCAGACTCACAGTTGGTAAGGGATGCCATACCATACCTATGATGCCAGAATGTTCTCCCACCTAGGAACAACTATTGAATCTGGAGAAGGAATGACATACTTTGTCCCCATCTCTGATGGCTGTCCTTTGTACCAGTCGACCTTCCAGCTGGATGTAGCCAGCCAAGACCTGACCTTGTACCTCCTACAACTATTGACAGAGAGGGGGAACTTGTTAGTAAGCACAGGTAAGACACTGCTTTTCTCAGCCAGGAAAATTAGTCTTTCAAAATGAGGGGGTGTTTTGCTTTTCATAACTTTATTTCAACATAAACATGCTTACAGAAATGCACTCGTATTGGTTAAGAGAATGCAATTTAACTTATCCTACAGAATTTCAATCGAAAAGGTAGTATATGGTTTAAGATTTTTAAAAGGATTTACAATCTGGATATGACTTTTTTTTGGTGGAATCAACTACAGCCCTCAATTTGTGAAGCTGAGGCTACTGTACCATCCTCCAAGCTCTAAAAACAATGCTGTCTATATTTAGAGACATTTGGAGTCTTTATAATGAGGAGGGCAATTATAGTGATGATGATGATGATGAAGATCATGATGATAGTGATGGTGAAGATGGTGATAGTGACAATGGTGATGGTGATTTAGCTTCTGATGGTGATGGGGAGGATATGATAGTGAGGAAGGTTAGGTGATGATGATGGTGATGATGGTAATGGTGATGTTAGTCGTGGTAATGGCAGTGATGATGATGGTGATGATGATGGTGATGGTGATCATAATGATGAGCAAAGCTTTACAAAAAACTTACCCTATGCAGAACATTAGGTCAAGTAAACATTTCCCACTTATTCTCCCAGTGTTTCTCACTACAACTCTATAAAGAGGTTCAATTATTTCTATTGTAAGAAGAGGCCTAGGAATGCTAGGAGGTTCAACAAATGTCCCGTAAGTAGTAAGGTATTACTTCTGGGATGTGACCTCAAGGACTTCAGACAAGGCACTGCCTGCCTCTCTTTGCACTTAGTTCCTAGATTGGGTTCCCAGCTCGTGTGGCACCCAGTCCCATTGAACCTACAACCCTACACTGAGTTTCTGGCCTCCCCAGGCAAGAAGTCTGTGTCAAAACCCAAGCAAAATACGGAATCCTAAAGAGTAACACCAGTTAGAGGGCCAGGTCACAGGATGTCATCGACACCTCACACCTAGCAAGATCTTGGTGTGCATTCTTTCATCCTGTCCTTACAGTAGTCCAGAATGTGATGATCAGTCCTATTCTTGAAGACAAAGACAGGGAAAGGCTGACAGGATAATGAATTTGCTGGTATCTAGGCATTTAGCAAACGGCAGAAGTGGGATTGAACTCAAGACTGTCTCATGGAAGGTCAAACTATGTGAAGAAGGGGAAAATATCAGGAGATTGCAGTGTCCCAGAAGCCAGGGGAAGAGAAGAGGGCTAACAGCATCAGTATCTGGACAGCAAGAAGGCCAGTGTGTTCTCAGGGCTTTGGAACTAGGAGGATGGACATACCTGGGCAAGAGCAGTTTGGGGGGAAGAGGGGAGATGGAACTCTGGGGTCAGTGGGCAAAAGAGTGAGTGGGATGGGCCAGGGATTTAGCTCAGTGGCTCTGGCACCTGCCTTGCAAGTGCAAAGTCCTGAGTTTGATCCCCAGTACCAAAAGAAAGAGTGAGTGGGGTTTTCAGTCAGGCAGTACAGGGAGTCTCCTCCTGATTCAAACTGAAAGACAATACCATAGTGCCCAAGTTGCAGCTGGACTTCAACTCTGTTGTTGGCCACTCTGAAAGGGGTAGGACATAACTTCCCAGGTGTTTCCAGGTGAAGGGTGTTGATGGACTCTGGGTGTTTTTCCAGATCAGGGGACAACTGTGAGCAGTATGCAGCAGCTCCTGTCACAACAGATGATAAAGTTGAGTTTGATTTTCTAGCCCTCCAAAACACACATCATATGTAGTAAGGTCTCAACTTTTAAAATGCTGAGCATTTCTAACCCCTAGCTTCTCAGTTCAGAACATCCCTATGCTACCTTCCTGTCCTATACCTGTCCCCTACCTGGCACCTGACACAGGCCAGAAAACAAGAGGAATATGGACACAGAGCTGCAAGGGGTGGTCTCTTACTCACCACAATGCACCCCACTTTCATGCCCTTTTCTCTCTGGCACTCTTCCTTTGTCCTGAAGCTGACCAAGAGTACATCCGGAATGTGAAAGAGAAATGCTATGTGGCACTGGACTTTGACAAGGAGAAGGTGGAAGACAGCAATCCATCTTCCTGCCTACAGAAATTCCAGCTTCCTGATGGACAGGAGATCAGCCTTGGGCAGGGGGCTTTCCTCTGTCCTGAGGCACTCTTCCAGACAAACCTCATAGGTGAGTCCACTGGAAGGGGACAGAGGTGAGTCCAGCACCAGCAATGGAGCACAAGGTCAGAAAGAAGGCAGTGGGCAGCCAGGAGGAGAGCATGGTTTGAGTAGCAGATAAATGCCCCATTTCAAAACTTCCTCTGGGATCAGCTATCACATACCTAAACACCTCTCACTCTGTTGACCTTTGTACATAAGTGATCCCTTCTTTTCTCCCCCAATCCAAGTCATCCCATTTTACAGAGGAAGAAATTCACTCCAAGTCTTAAATCGTTTGTCAAGTGTGATCACAGCTACATTGGGCTGATGGTCTTCTCTTTCTATTATTTATAACTCCACCTACTCCAAAATAATTAGAAATATAAAATCAAGACAGTCAAGGCAGAAAAGCAAACTCCATAGATATGGAGGGAGCTTGAAAGATCTGACTGGTCTAGAGATTTTAAATGACCGTTGAGTTGACTAAAGTCTCAGGCAGGCCTGGCCAATAAGGGAAAATGATAAATTCTTCTAAAATCCAAATTGAATGGGGAAATGAAGCCTGCAAGAAGTTGTGGAAAACAAAATATTCCCTGAAATCAAATTCTTGAAATATTCCATTACATTCATAAGGGCTGGAAGGAATTCGATGTGGAGACCTAACTATTTCTCCAGGACTAGCACCTAGTAGGAACTGGCATAGAGAATCTGGGTTTAGCTCTGTTTTCTCTGCTACACTGTGTGGAGGATCTAGTCTTAAAAAACATCATAGCACATGGCCCCAAAATACCTGGTGGGTAAGTGAAGTAATTGAAGCCCGTCACCCACCCAAGCTCCAGAGAGGAGGGTCAGGGTGAGTCACAGTGGATGTGAACACAACCCCAGGTTCATGGCACACAGAGCCCTCCTGCCTGGAACATCCCAAACCACTGTGAGTTAGTCTCTTGAGCCCTGCATCCAGGGACCTCAGTATGAAGACGGCAAGGTCGTGACAGGTGCCACCCTGCTGGAAGCTCCTGATATCAAAGACAATAACACAATCTATACAGGTCTGCTGGCCTATTCTCATGCTCTGCATTTATGGAGGTGGCCAAATCATGATTCAGGCTGGGACACTCAGTGCTATTTCCCAAAGTCACCTGAGCCAGGATTCTGCCCCTACTGAAATCCTTTCATGAAACTCTTGATGCCTAGGTTTGAGAAGTTATAATTGTCAGTAACATAAATTGGAACATAAATTATCTCCATGAATGAGGAGAATTAGAATATTTCTTTGACCAAGAGCAGTGGACTCCTCTGGTTGGTTGGACACTTCTGTACACTACTTTGTTTAAACCTCTAGGGCCTTGCCATGGAGGCACTTGGGGCTACTCGGGACTAGGGATCCCCACCACCCAGGGCCTTCAGTTAAAAGGGAGGAATTCAGGAGTATGACAGACCAAGATTCTAGCCTCAAGGTTCCTTCTTTCTCCATCCATCTTGACAGGGAGAACCACCCTGGGGATCCACGGATGGCCATGCAGTGCATCACCTTCTGCAACCCCTCTCTCTGGAAGACCCTCTTTGGCCACATCATCCTATCCAGAGGCACAGGCTCCTGCTCTGGCTTGCGATTAAGATTGCAGAGAGAACTAACAGGACTGGCTTCCCCTACTATAGATGTGAAGGTATAATTCCCTCAGGAACTTCCCCTTTTCATTCCACAGATATTTCTAGAATGCCTCTCAGATGAGCCAAGCTAGAGTCCTGGCACATGAGGAAGCATCAGTGAACAAAAGCAACAGAAATCAGAAGTAGTGGGGAATGCATACTGCAGGATGAGGGGAACTATGTGCAGGAAGGGGCTGTGAGCCCCTGGAGTAGCAAAGGGGTATCAGCGTGGGTAGGTGGGGTACTGAGATGCAGTGAATGTTGGAGTGCATCTGCTCAAGGAGGTGTGGCTACTGGGGAGGAAGAGCGTTCAGGCAAAGAACAACCCCTAGGATGGTACAGAGCTTGCTTTTAGAAGGAAAGCGAGGGCCACCATTGGCTGAGTGAGCAAGGACTAGATAACAGGGATAGGGAAGTGGAGAGGCTTTCACTGTGAAAAAGTTAGGCAGAGGAGCGACGTAATTCAACTAGGCTCTGAAGGCTCAGTCTCCAGAGGGGAGTGCAGATTGTCACTGGGTGAGGAGGGTGGACAGGCCATCATCAGGTGAGGAGAGCTCACCTGGCGCTAAATCTTTCCTGTTTTACTAGCCAGCTCTCTAGCTGCTGCAAACTCCACAGGCCAACTTAGGAGCACTCGGTGACATGTCTCCTGCTGCTGCCTCATGGGAGGCCCTCACCAGAGTGACACTGCTGTGCCTGCAACCTTGTGTCCTCCCCTGGGCAGGGGTTGGGGGTGCCAAGTTGAGAGGGGAGTGCACAGTTAGCTTAGAGAGTCTCTCCTTTTCAAGGCCTGTGTGTGGCCACTTCTCCCTCTCTTTCTGTCATCCAGAAGACACCATTAAGGGTCCCAGGGAGGAGGTTTGGACTTAAGCCCTTGATTTAGTCCCCTCAGCTCCCCAGTCTTCCATGGAGCATTCCATCACCCAGCACCATAACCCCTCCCAGCTGTCAGACCTGGCTGCTTGCATGGCCCTCTCTCAGAGAACATTTGACACATCTTCTCAGTGTATCTTCTGCTCCTGCTGCTGATGTTCCCTGGATAATTGTCCTTCATTTCCTACCTTCTCAACACTGCTACCTCTTTATAAAATACTGTATGTTTCAGCCTTCCATCACTGTGACACAATAACTGAGAACAATAACTTAAGTCAGGAAAGGTTTATTTTGGCTCGTGGTTCCAGTCCATGGTTGGTTGGTTCCATTGCTCTTGAGCCTGTGGCCAGGCAGAGCATGGTGGTGGAAAGTTAGTGTGGAGGAAGTTGTCCCTAGTTTATTGGCTACATCACCCATATTCAGGGCCAGTATTCCCCCTCGGTTTGCTGTCCCACATTTCCCAGTTTGTTGTCTTCCAGTTGTCTTAGAAACACCCTCAGAGACACACCTAAAGCATGCTGTCCTAATTTCTTAGGCGTTTCTCAATCCAATCAAGTTTACAACCCAGATTAAGGGTCGCACCATATAACATCACACCTGTTCACATTTGAGAACTGTACCCCATCCGCTTTCTCATTTCCTTATCTTTATATCAATATTTTTAATATTATCTTATATGATTTTTCAAAAAATGCACATAATCTTGGACAACTGTTCCCTGACCTGTCTTCTCACCTCCTAAGTTTACACCCTCTGCTACCTCATCTGACATGAAGTCACAAGAAGCATTTATGTAATAATGGAAAATGATCATGGCTCTGTCTTCTCCTTCCTCAGCCCCAGCTCTGGCCACCTATCACATTTCTGCAGCTCCTACTCTGCTCTCCGGAGGCCTCAGGCGCTTGCATGAAAGGCTTTTACTAAATCAGAGAGGAAGGCTTCCATGTAGTTCAGCACAGAAAGCAAATTGAATTTGAAAATTGTAAGGTTTTTAACGGCGCTTGTAAAGGGACTCCCTTGGGCCAGTTCTGTCCTGCCAGTAAGTGCATGCCCAGGTTGCATTTTGGACCAAGCTCTTTCAAAACCTTCCCTATCCTTAAGGCATCTCACACTGTCCCCACCCCCTCAAAAAACTCCACAGGAAGCTTGGAGGTGACATAATTTCCTGTAATTTTGAGCTGATTTAGTTTTTCTCTGCCTCATCACTTTAGGGCACAGTGTCTAGAAAGGCCTGGGAAGCAGATTGGCTTGCAATCAGCTAAAAGGCTAATTATTCATTTAAAGAAGAGAAAAACTTTCTCTCTAAAACAAATTCATCCACCTTGAGAGAACAGCTAGTTCCAGTGGGGACAACTTCAAATACAATCCCCAATTTACCACCTTTCAGCTTACAATATTTTGACTTTACAATGAGATGAAAGTGATTCATATTCAGTGGAAACTGTACTTGGAATTTTGAGTTTGATCTTTTCCTGGGCTAGCGCTGTACAGTTCAATCCTCTCTTGAAGCTGGGCAGGGCAGGTCCCTATCAGCCCCGAGCTCCCAAGAGTGAATCACCAACCTGCAGCCTGCTGTGGCTGACCGAGGATGTTCCATAGTTCAGGTGTGCTCCACTTACAATGGGGCTACCGGGAGGTGCTCCCACCGTACATCAAAGAGCTCCTGTAATTGCTTCTCCTGGCAGCCTAAGCTCTGCTGTAATGCATGTCCTTAGGCTAAAAATGTTTGCCATTATCCACCCCCTTTTTAAAGAAGTTTTTCTTTCCCTTCAAATCCACTTCTAGATGTGATTTTTGAAGCCAGAAATATATGCACAACCCAAAGCTTTTTGAATGTATGGCCAAATTCCCCAATGGAAACATCCAGCTGGCTTCCTTTTCAAAATCGTTTTGCCTTCTTGGTAAATGGGAAAAATTGTTTGTTGTTCTTTTCTCTTCCTTCTTTTTAAACATATTTTTATAATTGCCCATTCCAGCCCTTTGGCCATTTTTCTGTGGTATTTGTGCTTCTTTGTAACACCTATGTCATCCCAGTTCTGTCTGATTCTGTGTGTGTTTATATTAGATACAGATGGGGCAGATGGCTTGGCCAGGGTGACAGAGGAAAAGGAGAGCAGAGGCTGCCAGGTGTCAGGCACTGGCTCTTGCCTCTGCCTGAAGTGCTGATCTCAAACTTTCTTTTCCCTCCCTTATCTCTTTTTTCCCTTAAAGTTGTAGTGACAGATCTCCTAACTAATACCAGGAAGTGGCTTCCAAGCCCAGCACAGCAGTAACCAGAGCCAGTGGGCAGCAGGGAACTGAGTCTGAGAATGCATCTTGTCTACTCACCCTGCCTGGAAATTGAGTTTTCCAAATCTTATCCTGAGCTTTTCTCAGGCAGAGCCCTGCAGGGATGCCTTGGCCTCCTATGTGTTAGGATAATAAACATGCTCTATTGTTATATACCTATGTGCCTTACAAAAAAGTTAGTGAGCAGTGAGGATGCCAACAGTCTGACCTTGAGCAAGTGACCTTAACCTTCCTGTGCCTCAGGGGCTGCTCCCAACAAATGGATGTGGAGATTTTTCCTTGATATAAGAAATGCTGCTCTCTCTCTCCTGGAATGGAACCCAGAGGAAGCATGCACTTTTCAGAGGGCAACGTGAAAGTAGGAGCAGAGTCTGGAAAGCTCTGTTCTGCAGAAGGGATTTGGCGACTGATTGATTTTTCTTATCTGTTTTCTGATTTTTCTAATCTGTTTTCTGATTTTTCTACAAAATACATATGCTGAATGCATAGTATTTATAAAGTACAGAATGCACTCTGTTTTACAATGTCAAGGGCACGAGTCCTCTGTGTTCTTGTCCATTTCACCCATATGTGCCAACAATGCATACGACGAATATATTTATTATGCAACACAAACACATACTAATCAAAAATTTAAAAAATAAAATAGCAAATAAAAATTAATAAAGCTACAGGATGTGGGTGTGAAGTGCTCACCTTAATGGATAATAATTACTCATATTTGCCAGGAGGAAGAAATGACTATCCATGGATTTTGGAGGGGATAGCTATCTGTGCCCCAATTTGGAGTCATACTTTAATGGTTTTTGTTCCCCTCTCTGCCCCCGATCCCTGTCTCTCACCCTCCCTGCCTCCTCCCCTTGCAGGTGCCAACCTCTCCCTATGCCAAGTGTGGTGCCTGGGTAGGCGGCTCCATCTTGTTCTCCTTGTCAACTTTCAAGGATATGTGGGTCACCAGCAGTGAGTACAGGGACGTTGGCTGCTCCATCATCAGTAGAAGAAGCTTCTAAGTTGGGGCTCTCTGGGTCCCGCCACCTTTGTCATCAATGGCAAATCCAGGCCAAGCTTCACCTGAATCAATCAATGCTCAGGACCAGCTTGCACGCAAGGCCCTTCCTCCCTAGATGTCAATAAAGATGAAATAGGAAGGACTCTGTGTCTGTCTGGGCAGGTCCACAGCATCTGAGGACTCTCACAACATTAGTGCAAAGGGGATTTCTGGTCCTCTCCATGTATCAGTCAGAATGGCTCAGTGACACTGCTGCAGTGACAAACATCCCCAGATAGCAGAGCCATAGACAGAGTCTGGCCCTCACTCTTGCTTCTTGTCTCCTCAAAGTCAACAAATCCTTTCTGCATCATCCCATTCTGAACCTGCTAACAGAGCAGATAGACCATCAGGGGCTCTGTCACTCACGGTGGGTGCCTCAGCCATTTTTGGTGGCTGTAAAACATACCTGAGATCTAGCATTTTATAAATAATAGAGGTTTATTTAGCTCACAGTTATGGAGGCTGGAAGTCCAAGAGCCTGGTGCTGGCATCTGCTCAAGACCTCTTGCTGCATCCCAACGTGGTGGGGGGTGACTCAGGATGACACAGAGAAAGCGTGCTAGCTCAGGTCTCTCCTCTCTTGTAAAGGCACTCGTGTCTCATGGTGGTTGTACCCTTATGACCTCACCTAATCCTAATCACCTCCCAAAGGCCTCACCTCCTAGTGCCATTAATATGTGGATTTGGGGACTGAGTTCCCAACATGTGAGCTTTGAGGGGAACCCAATCAAAGACTATGGCAAGAATTTGAGCATATGAGACTTCTAGAAGGTCTTACACCAGCCAGTAAATGCTCCAGCTTAGAAGGAACACAGGACACATTTCACAATGAATTGTCCACACAGAGGAAACACACACACACACACACACACACACACACACACACACACACACAGAACAGCCCAGCAAGTGTCCTCCTGTTAAAGGACAGACATGCCCATGTGGAGAGACACAGTCAGAGTGGTACCCAGAGGATACCCCGTGAAGGGGTGTGGTGTCCTTCAAAGAATTTATTCCTCATCAAACTGAGTTTATTACAGCTGATTTCATGGTGCAGGAGCTGGAGGTAAGAGTGGCTCATTCACTGGATTGAGGTTACTTAGGCAGCAACAAGGAGCTTAAATCTGTAAATAATACCTAGGGAGAGTGCTGAATCAGGGCAGAAGACGAAGGAGACAGAGGGACCAAACTTGCAACAGAGATGAAGGGTCCCAGATGGAAAGCATGGGTTTTTGGGGTGGAGGGGTACAAAGCACAGGGCCATAAAGTGATCCACTCCCTCTCAGACACTGCCTGGTGACATTTTGGAATAAAAAAGGAATAAATTCTGGAAGATTTGAGAGAGAACAACAAAAACTAATTAAACTGGTTAACTATAAAGTTACTAGAAAAAACCCCAAGATGACTAAATTTGAATTTCAGAAATACAACAAATAGAGCTGGGATAGTGGTGCACATCTGTAAACCCAGCACTGAGGGAAGTGAAGGCAGGAGGATCCTAAATTTGAGTCCAGCCTAGGCAACCTTGTGACTTAGCAAGACCTTGTTCATAATAAAAAATAAAAACGTTCTAGCACTGGGGATTTAGCTCAGTGGTTCCGCCACCTGCCTCGAAAGTGCAAAGTCCTGAGTTTGATCCCTGGTACCCAAAATACCAAAACCAAAATCAAAACAAAACAACAACAGCAACAACAAAGTTCTGGGGAGGGATCTCAATATAAAGGCAATTTCCAATATTGCTCCCCCGCAAAAAGGAATATAGCAAATAAAGTTTTAGTATAGGCACATCCCAGAGGCTGCCTGGATTTTGAGTTGCTAAATCTGACAACCCAGCCACAATGAAAAGAGGCTCTGGTCCATATCAGTATTTGATTGCATAACAGCTCTGGAAGACAAGGGACTAAACCATGAAGATGAGAGGAAGGGATAGTTGAAGTTGAAATTACGTAGTAGCTCCATCCATTTCCCTCTGACCCCACCTGCACCTCACTGTCCCTGACACCTCACACCCTGGACATCCACCTCTCTACATGCTGAGCATGAAGCGGGGTTAGGTGGCTCCGCCTTGTGTGACAGGTGAAATGTTAACAAGCTGTCTAACAGATCAGAATGCTACAAAAAGATTTCAGGGCAGGAAAAGACTCTGCCCATTTACACATACATGTTCTCTCTAGAAAAATGAAAAATTGTCTACAGGATGAATCAATAAAAAACACACCAAGAAAAAGAAGCAACAATGGGTTAAGCAGCTAGGCCAAACTCAGAGGTATAGTTAAATGATTTTTAATTCAGAGTTCAAGAGAATTCACAACAATGTGAAACAATGATTCCAATGATCAGATGATCCCAAAATGGAAGGAGGAGGAAATGAGGAAGAAAGTGAAGTTGTAGAAAATATGGGTACTAATGAACTCCACATGTTGATAGGAAAGAGTTAAGTTGAGGTGAGTATATTTCTAATTTCAAGCTAACTGGGCACTGCACCTTACTGACCCAAGCTGAGTGCCAAGGGGCTGCTTATGCCTCTCAAATGCTGACCTACAATCTTCCCCAAACCCTTCTGCCCTTGGTGACTCAGTCAGGTGGAGAGATGGCGTTCTAGAAGCTACTGCTATGTTTATTTAAAAGTAATATTTCTATCAATAGAATGTCATTATAGATGTCAAAAACTGAGCTTTTTTTTCTTTCAATCATCAGACATTTTTCATTCTTTTTTGGTCTGTAAACAAGTATGATTTCAATAAACATGGAAATGTTAGCAAAAGTTGCTTACCATTGTCTTTTTATCAGCTCTTCTCTCAGCGAAGTGCAGTGAGCATTCCTGCACCCCGGATCTGTGGGCTAAAACCCATACTGACTGTCATTGTCTTGATTATACATTTCACCTTGCCAGTGGTAGTTAAGTACATTGCGGTGAGAACTGTCTTCTGAACCTTAGTCAAAATAACTCCATCTTTTTTTTTGTACCAGGGATCGAACTGAGGACCTCACGTTTGCCAGGCAGGCGCTGTGCAGCTCAGCTACATCCCTGGCATAACTCCATCCTATAGTGGGCCCCTGTTATGATTTAGATCTAGAATGTCTACCAAATGCATCATATATTTGGAAAGTGATTGGATCATAGGGTGCTACATTCATCAGTACGCTGATGTATTGGTGAGTTCAGTTGCTGAATGTGCTGTTGGGAGTCAGGTGGGAAGAAGTGGGTCAGTGTGGGCATGACCTGGAAGGGTGTGTTCTTGTCACTGGCTCTTTCCTTCTCTCTCTGTTTCTGGGCTTCTGTGGGTTGAACAGTTTTCCTCTGCCATGCCTTTCTACCATCCTCTTTCTGCTTTGGATCCAGCCAACCATGGACTGGAACCATGAGCCAAAATAAAACTCTTCTCCTTTAAGTTGTGGGTGTTAGGTATTGTGTCCGGGGATGAGAAATGACTAAAATAAGCCCTGTTCAGCTTTGATGTGGGCCCTTGACGGGTGATGCACCTATGAGCCAGACAGCAACACAATAGTTATCCGCTACCACGGCAGCTCGACAGCACTAAGACGAGGGAGTTTTCTGACAAGGATGGGATGGGAACAGAGTACATGCAACTTTTTCAAAGGACCCTTCTTGCCTTTGGTCCTGCTTTTGATGTTTTAGTTAGAGCCCAGTAAAACCAGTAGCCTAGTACAGGGATTTAGCAACCTCAGTAGTGCTACAGCCTGGAAGTTGTCCAGTGCTCTGTGGGTAACCCCTGATAAACTTAGTCACTCACCAGGCCAGACTTATCCAAGTCATTCTTTGAGCTGTTGAGGCCCTCTCAATTTGGATGTTTCTTTTATGTTTCCCTGGGAAATTCTTACAACATACATAAACCAGGAGACTTTGAGAAATAAACTCTAAGCTACTTATAAGTGGACAATGGAAGGTAAAACAGGGGAGCCTGAACTAAAATGTTATTATTCTGAATTCCGTACCATATGTGTTTAACTTCAAAAATTTCTAAATAATTTGAAGGTCACAAGTAGGAGGATAGTAATAAAAAGAACAAGACCCATAGGTGAAAAGGATAAATCAGAATACCACATAAAGAGTGTTGGAAAAAATGTTCAGGAAAGAAAAACAAGATAAATTAATTTAATATCAGATTAGACAGGCATAGCTGAAGGAATTAATAAGCTTGAAAGTTAGATAATGAAAGTAAGATGAGAAAATTAAAGGCAACAAAGGATTTAAGAACATTTACAAAGAATAACAATAATCAGACAGACAGCCGCCTTCTCAACATTAACAATAGAGGCTAGAACATAATGGAATGATGTCCTTGAAATGGGCTAGAGAAATAATTGCTAGGCTAAAATCCTGTACCCAGCTGATTTCGAATAGCAGAGTCAGAAACGCAAGAGACCCAACTGAAGGCAAAATAAAAACATCCTCAGATAAAGAGTAAAAGATTTTTTCACCATCAGACCTTTGTTCCAAGAAAAAAAAAAAGCAAAACCCAAACAAAATACCCAACTCAAACTACACTGATCTCAAACTTGAATATAGGACAAAAACCATTTACAACATGGGAGAGGAGTTTGGCATATTAAGGCATCCTATAAGCCTTGTGTAGGTAGAAGTATTGGTTAATTTTGGACTTTGCTAAATTAGCAAGCCCGTGGAAATTTTGTAGTAACCACTGAAAATGAATGGAGTACACAGCCTCTAAATTAATAGTCATGAGCAGGTAAAAAGAAGAGTATCAGGAAAGCAGCAGGTGTAAGAACCACAAAGCAAGGAGTTAGAAACTCGCCAGGGATTACAACAGAACCCATGTTTTACTTAAATGCCTTTTGTGAGGACATTGGCCCCCTTATAGCAAAACTGAGCTCTTTTGTTCAGACACAGATCAATCATACCCACAGCAAAGCCCAGTGTAGTTTCTATCTGGGCCTTTTCAGAAAAATTTGCTGACCCTTTCTCTAGAATGATTTGGCTCTTTAAACTATGGACATTGATGAAAAATAGATAGTAAATAGACTTTTAAAAAAATTCTTTTATTGGTACATTGAAGGTATGCAACACATTTACATTTCTCATTGGGAATTGTACCTTTACATGATGCATCTTGGTTCTTATTTTTTCCCCATTCCTAGCCCTCCCTTCACCCCCTCCACCCTTCCCTATTTACAAAGACTTTATTTCCATTTTTTCCATTTCTCAGCATTTTTCCTTTCCCTTCTTTCCTTTCCCCTGCCCCTCCCGCTACCCCTACCCCTTTGGACCTTTTCTTCCTATTTTGCATTATTGATTATTCATTCTAATCATTGGTACATTTTAGGTATACAATATAATGACATTCATCATTGGAAATTTGCACCTTTACATAGTCTCTCTTGGTTCTTATTTTTCACCCTTGCCCA